TGACACTTAGCAAACTTTGTCTGCTTTAGTTCAATGATGCATTTCTAAAACATTTGCATGTCAGAAACGAAGCAAGAAGATTTAAGAGAATTTGTTATTATGATTTAGTGGCCACTTCTGGTAATGTTAGTATCTACTGAACACGTCAGCCACTATTGTACATAGGGTACTTTATCTTTAAAGTAATGACTAATGTTCTCCGATAAGGTTTACGACCAATAGGACCGGCCTTATTTATCAATCGAACAAAATTGAACATATTGTATCATTACGAATAAATCGGTCGAACATATTCAAACAATGCAGTCCAGTAACTGTTATAGCATATTGAAACTGTGTTTTCATAAACATTAAATGCCTTATATTTTGATTACATGTCTCTTTCTGTTATTATATTTTCGTATTAGTTTTATCTTCCGATTATCTCGTTGACACCCTTGAAAATTTACCACGTGAACGGATATCATTGTAGCCAAAATTAAAACTGTAACTCGTTAAAATACATGCATGTATTTTGTTACCATTAAAAGCAATAACTAAATGGTTTTTTGTTTGTTTGGTTTAACATCAAATATATTTACATATACTTATACGGTAAAGCAATACTTTTGTTGAAGAAATATGTTTAGAAAGTAATCATAAATTCCAAAAGCTTCTGAGAATAGCACATTGCAGATATGTTATATGTATCATTAGCATTTAAAGTATAATTTTGTCCATTAAAACGGTAACAGCAATTGACGCAAATGTTTACTGATTCGCTGTGGTAATATCGTCAACTATATCCATGATTAGTGCTGTACAACGTTGTTGTGGCAAGGACAATTATATTCGTTAGGGTACGTGTTATAGCTACAATGTAGCACTAACCTTGGTAAGGTAATGACAACGGATTATATGGCAAAATGGTATAGGCTGATGTATTCGTTGACAAAGGTGAGATAACGATTCCTCTGTGTAAACATAGTAAACACTTGTAAGGGAGAAGTTCTTATAAATGTTATCAATCAAACATCTACATACTTCAGTACTGGCTGACCATACCGTTCCTTAAATGTGAAGCATGGCAATAGGTTAATGACATGTATGTTTGGTATCGACATGGTGAACACACAAGAACAAAGATAATAATTTAAAGTTGACATGGAAAGACAACAACACGAACTAAATAGACAAATAAGAATATAAAAAAAAATGTTATTCATGAATAACAGATTGAAAACTTCAGTTAAACTTCGAATGTTGTGATTTACAAAGAAATGCTATAGATGTGTATTATTTCAAGATATTTCGAGTTACTTCATGAATATTCTTTTTATCGAAAATTGACTGTTGAACTTAAATCTCTGACGGTTTCCATGACTCCTGCCTCTTGCCTCTTGCCTCTGGTGTTGGTTTCAAAAATCTTCTTGAGTCTATATGTTTCCATAAACTGTTACCCTTTGGAGAAATTCAAGTTTAGAAAAACAGTGAAGATGTTTGGTGAAACCGCAACCTAGTGCTGTACATTCCTTATCAGAAATAAGGTATACATGTATAAATGCATGTAATGTATAAAACATAATAAGCTATTTTTTAATTGCAGTCAATATGTTGCTGTATTAAATATGGATGTTTGTAAACAATTAACTAAGGAAAAGTAGATGCATATTCGCATGATTTCTATAAGCAATTAGCTTTCAAACATAGAATAAGCATTTCGGGAATGTTAGTCAACTAAAACCATACTACTTTGTTGTTTTATTTTATTCTCCACGCTAATGTGTACCAGGGTACCTCGAAAACGTTTTCCTAATTGATTCGAGCTTAAGCATAAATCTCTGAGTTGATTACACAATCTTTCTATGAAATGACCGAATTTGAGTTAAGAAGCATTTCCAATTACCCATGTAGGTCATGTACTTTATTTCTCCCCGCACGTGAAGACGTTGCCACCGTGAAGCGATTTCCCAGTTGAAGTCGGACCTTGATAGGTAGCAGAGTTTCTAAGGTGGAGGTATTCCTATCAGAGAAATTATGATGGTCTATCGTGGCCCACCTTCGGTTCCTAGCATTCCCGACAACATCAAGCGATCATCAGCAAAAAAATGTCTCAACAGGGGTCACTTGAACGATTTGCAAAAAGCCAGGTGGGCCTAACATTTATAATTTGAAAGCTCATACGTCGAATAATTTGAGAAAAAGAGGTAAATGTGTATCACGGAAGCGCCATGTAGATTACTGCGATAAAATCGTCCTCTGTTGTGAAAGATGAATATTTCTGGCTTTTACTGTAACAGTGTCAAAGTGTTTCTTCATATCACCCAGGAAGGCTGTGGCATTTGTTGGAATCACTACCTCGTTCGCAAACTCATAAAGATCTCATGACTGCGATAATGCTTTAATCATCGTTTCATTGAATATCATATTTTCTTATCCCGGGCAAAGTTGTAAATCATAAATAAAGTGTAAGACAATGATAGCGTCCGACGTGAAACAGAGAGCCATGAGTCAGTGCACGTTGGTGGTTTCACATTTCCTTAAAATCATTGAAAATCATTAAAGTCGTTTGAAGCATATCAGTACATTCCAAGTAATCACGATGCCTCCAAATATTTTGACACCTGAAGTGAATCTAGACAATATCAAGTCGCTTATACTCATTAAAATGATCAGACAAACTGTATGATGCTTTTGATAGTAGCCTAGATTTTTCTTCTCGTTTTCCTCTCCAAGTGGGAGAGCTAAATAATTCTTAATTCAACTGAATAAACTGAATTTGCAGAAATCAGGCTATGACAAAAGTGAACGCATTATAGTTTTATAAACACTTAAACAACCACCAAAAAAATATAAATGTTTATTCAATTTAGTCTTTATTGAAAAGAACCGTAGTGACAATCAGAATGCAATATTCAGTCTAGAAATGTCATATTTTAACTGTTTTCATTTCTCAATAATTTGGACATTCAGTAAAAGTGGTATGACAAATGTATGTGTAGAAAAAAATGAAAAGGCTGAAATAAAAAGATAGAACTACGAACAGTTAGGGTGTGAGGATAGCAAACGGTTTTGCATCTATAACTGTGTTGTCTATCACAACAACGTAATTGTGACGTTGTTTGCACTGAATAAACACTAAAAACCAAACCACTGCACTGAATAAACACTAAAAACCAAACCACTACACTGAAAAGGAAACAGGGATGTTTTTAAAGTTGTTTCCTACAAAGTGGAAAGTGGTGACGTAATAAATAATTGATTGCTCTAGAAATATTGATTTTTTTCAAGGATTCACAAAAGAGCAGTAGTTATTACTGTTTGTTGATAAAGTCGTAATTTTGAAGCAGCTAAGGTAATTTGTAAAAGTTTAAAAGAGTACTTACCAAGACGTTATTTGATAACAAATTGATGGCTAAGTAAAATAAGATATTCGTTAACCTAGGATTTTCTTTTATTTCGTGCATTGCTCTCGTATTAATTTTATTTAACTTTTTTTTGTGATATGGAAATACAAATGGTTTATCTGAATAATTTCAAGGTTTTAAAAGAGAAAAATTTGGTAAAAAATGTAACATGTTTTAATACTCAAATTTTTATTTTACTATCGTATAATGTGTTTGTGATAGCAACAAAATAATATTTGCCCTAATAGTGGTATTGTAGATAATTGCGACTGGATGGTATCAACTTGTTAAAAATCTACATTTTTACATCTGGGTTTGTGTGACCTTTCACTCGAGCATACAGGGGAAATGGTATTCGAACCAACCTTTCCTTGCTTACAATTTTCAAAGAATTAAAATGGTTCCTCATTGGTTGTAAATGGAGAAATCAATTAGAAAACATTCAGGACATATTTTGTGTTTAGATTTTCTTTTTTAGTTTCTAAGTTGTGACTTATTTACGTTAAAATAGATTATATGAAAGAAAAGCTTAAGAAGAATATCCTAAAAAATATCGATGCTTCGGTTTCATTCGTGAAACTATTTTTGTAAACATTTTAAGGGTCGGTGTTTCCGGGGATTCAAATACAGAGTTTGATATAAAAAGTCACTAAATCTTAAAAAAGATCACACACATCTTTGCTATTTTTAACTATTTCAATTTACTTTTCATCTGCGGATTCATCAGGCCAGTTATGAAGAACAGATCAAACAAATAACGCAAAACAATGTTATGACGTTTAATGATACTGACGATTTTTAAAAGAATTTCTAAATGTCAGAAGTAGCGTAAAGCAGAAGGTCAGTCAAGTGCCATCCACATAACGTATTTGTTTTAGGAAAACAATGATTGTCTTATTACTTACAGAATAAATCTTCCAAACCAGATGCATTGCTGCTAGTGTTTTACAATAACAAACCTAGCTGCCAGTGCAACATTAAAAATAATTTCTTATATAAAAATATGTTTTGCTCTTCACTGCATTCCTCATTTCGTTTATGTGTACAGATTTCTTGTGACATTTTTATATTCGGAAATAGTGATGATTGTGGAGTTTCCACTTTTCATGACTGCAACCATATTATCATTATATGAATGAATCAAAGCACAGAACGCCGTAAAGTTAATGACCAAAAATTGAGTATGTTTTATGATCAGAAAGTAGTAAAGGTCGTCTTTGAGTGAAACGTTTCTGGAAGCAATTACTTGCATTATACAGTGCAAGGATACACTTAAAATTTCTGTAGCGGAAAACATTCTTTATATAGAAGTAAGAATACAGTTTTTGAAGAAGTATGATCAAATGCAATGCTGCAATGCTGTGCTCATTCGGCAGTATCTTCCATATTGGTGATTTTTACCACAAAAGCTAGTGGGTTTTTTCAACATCACATGATGCAATCAATTACATGTCTGGTTACATCATTTTAACATTAATTATCATTGTTTCTCACAATTTTCCTTCTGTTTTTATTCATTGAATTATTTATCAATGCTAATTGATGAAGTTAAATGTGTTGTTGTTCAAGACGTATTATAAAATTGTGTTATTTCGATTTTGTTATCTTTTTCAGAATTGTAACTGCATCTTTTCCAAAGGAAATGGAGTACGTTTTGGATTTTCAATTGTGTTTACATGTGATTGTTACGTTGGATTATATTCGCTGGCATCACGTTCCCTTCTTGGAGAGTGTGTTATGTTGTGGATAACGGTGAAAGAGGGATAACTCTAAACCAGAAACGCTACTTCGCCACACATTAAGCAGCGCGGGAACTGCCATGAGGTAAGATCATATTGCAGCTTTAGTCGAAGTATCGACCATTGTCTTCATTTAAAGTCGATTCGGCCAATGAGGGTAAGGAACAAAGGACGATTAGAGAAGTAGTTATGATATTGTAATGTATTTTAAATATGTAACCTTAAAGATTCAGACAGAAAAGAGATATATTTTGACATTACGTCATTGACAGACCGACAGCCAATGTATGGCAATTTCAGATGCTGTCAATCAACAATTTGTTAACTGTTGCTCTATTTCTTTTTTAATCTTGTCTGTTATGCATTCAAAAATGTAGTCAGTGTAATATATTCCGGGATATATTTCTTTTATCAATTGATGTTTGGGCAGTTTTAATGATTGGATCATGTTAAGTTGGGAATTCGTAGACTGACCATATACGGTCATGCTCTCGGTACCGAGTTCCTAATACAATTTCATCATACTGACAGAAATACTCTGGTTGTTTTCGCAAATGTTTTTTTCCGTATTTAATAACTAAAGTTAACCATGTGATTGTAACATTTTCAACTGCACAAATCGCCACATATCAAATTACATTATATGTTGTTGTGTGTTTTATTGTTGATAGAGTGCATGCCGTATGCTTATCGTTTACGTACAACAAATATTGTTGTTGATGTCAAGACAGAACTGCATGTAATATTTCTAGTATTCGTATTGAAGTTTGAAACATTGTCATCGGAAATCAAACCATACAAAACCCAAAACATATTTTTAACTTATCTTACGTCAAATGAATTGTAATATATAACATAAACTACAAAGATATTGTGTTTCGACGAACACATTGTCTAGAGCATTAATTGGCACAACAATATAAAACAAAAGGAAAAAAATATACAGTAAATTGATCCCATTGACTAAAATAATAATATTAAAAAACAAATGAAACAATCAGTAAGCCATATTGATATGCATATAATACAAAAACATTGAAAAATAAAAGTACTTATTTTTGTCTAATATAATGTTTGCAAATAAATCATATGCCTCATTTAAACAAATAACTTACTTTTTTCAGCTTTTCATCGTTTTCCACCATATAGCAATAAATGTACAACCTAATTGTAAATTACATAATTTAAAAGGCTTTGCAGTTAGATCGTGTATAAGAAGATCAATTAGACACAGAACCGTTAACGTACCACCATAATTTCTATTTTTGGCATCACCAGACAAAGACTTCTCAGATATTATAAATATAATGCTAACTTTAATAGAAAATATGAATATACATATTCAAATATAAACACCTATTGATATCATCGTATGGTATCAAAAGAATAAGGATCGCTTATAAATTACAAATTATTGAAATCTGTTATACAGTGTCTTTGATTTTTTTCTGATAATCATCAACATCACATTTAATGGTTGTATGCTTATCAAAGTACTAATTACAGAAATATTAATGTAAAGGTCATACTTCATATTTAAATCTAAGAAATGTGATGCAAGTAAAGAAAATCTAACGGACATGTATACATTTTGCCATGGCGCCTGTTCTTCGGAAGATAATCCACACCTAACGAGGCTATGTACAACTGTTCAACTTTTAGCAACAATTGGCACACTTTGTTTGTGTTTTCAGATAAATTAGAACACATATGATTCAGACCGGTGATAAAGTTATTCAAGTAAAAATAAAATAGGGCTACATGTCTAATCAGACGGTATACTGTTGGTTTACTGTTCCTATTTCTGTATTATAGTATACCACATATTTGTAAACCTGCTGTTCACATTAAAATATCGTAACATGCGAAACATGATTGGTTTACTTTCAAAAACTATAACAGTTCCCTGTTTTGTGTACAATTTTCGCTGTCTTAGCATTCGATAGGGAAAACAAAAACAAACATTTTATAAAAGAAATAAACAGTAAATTTCTGAAAATTTTAAACATTATTTTAAAGAGCAAACCAAATAAAAGTGAGTTCTATAAACATATAAGATATATATTCAAATATGGATGTGACATAAGGATCAGAACCATGCAATACATGGTGAAGGGTTAAGCCCGAAAGCCTGGACATAGAATGACTGTTGCTATTTATGATGTATTAAAAGCCATCAAAATAGCAAGTAATATATAGTCTAAATTCGAATCAATAGAGTTACAAGTGACACTGATGTTGGTTTCACAATCCATGATCTTAATGTAAAATAAATACCTTTATAATGATGCAGCTGATCATATAAATTCTACGTTGATGTCTTTGTTGTTAATTCCACATCTTTGGTACCCCTAAACAAATTTAACGCAAATAATATTTAAGAATAACGGTTAAAGACATTTTTTATCTCCCTCACATTCACTACAATAAAATAACATGTTCAAATAAATATATAATCGTATTAGATAGCCTCGCTTTAGGTTTTCATAGCTCCAAATTCGGTTCCAGGATAAAGAACTCGGAAAGAAAGATGACTGTATTTATTGACAATATAATATTATCAACAGGTTGAATTTTCAATTTCTGTTACGTTATCCACTACGTCTGTATATTATGTTTTATTGTCTCGATATTTGAGAAAGAAGTGTCGACGTAAGTGTTTTATGTAGGATATATCGCTCGACCTGACAGTAACATAACCTAAACCTTAAATAATGATTTAAATTTAAGAGTAAAGTAGAATGTAATTTATTAAAAACGTATTTGATGGAAGTTTTCTGAGACGAAATTAAGGGGTTTTCTTATATATCAATACATTCCCTGAAAATACAAATTAAAAAAAGAATTGTATGTTTTATGTTGCGTTTTTGTTAACATGAAAATGAATGATAAAATCTTGAATAATATGGATAAAATAAATTCGGAGATCATATACAAATTGCGTAAATGTGAAAGATGTCAAAATTTCTCGAACAATTGCTTTATGTTAAATTATGTCCAAGTGTTCACGAATAAACATAATTTTATAAACATTTTTTCGAGACTTGAGTTAGCTTGAACAGTGTTTTGTTCATTTATCAGGTATTGTTATCAATAACGCGACTTGTGTTAAAGAATATGCTCGCACTATTATACAGTGTAACAAATAATCGCAGTTTATAAACATATAGAATAAACAAATTTTATATACAGAATATATGTCCTGCTGAAGCTAGAAAGATGTAGTTAAACTAACATTTAGAAATATTTACTATGAAATCGTTTTGACGGCAGCGGTATATTGCACATTGTTATAAACGACAAGATATACAAAATGTACAACCTATTGTTTTCATGACATTACAATTTTGTTTGATCCTAGCATTAAATTAATGAAAACAATTAGAAACATGCTTATTATACAAAATAACCATGACATATACCAATATATATTTATAGCACAAAAACAAATTATGAAAACAATCCAAGTACAATTAGACTGAATGAACGTTTTGTTATTTTTTGTTATTTTGTTACAAGGCCGTCAAATTTAATTTGAAGTCTTAAACTTTATGTAGTTGAACACATTTACATGTGTATTAAATACATAAACGTGGGTATCAACATGTATCCAAGGAAACAATGTTACGCAATCATTTGGTTAATAACATGTCCTTGTGTTGCTGGGTCAGCACTCAATGCCTTAAAATTAAAAACAGTGGCAACTCCTTATTTGGTATTAAGTCGGAACTCAGGTTCAACAACAGAAAGTCAGGAGACATTCAAATATGTAAACAATGACATCTAAGACAAAACAATAGTTACACATTACGGTATTGTCTTAGTCACTTATTCATAAACGACAAAAAAACACCAGAACCGATGCTCTTGTAGAAAACGAACATTCCTCATAGGTACATATTTTAAATGCTTAAACGATTGATATTCATTCTGTCCATTCATTGTAGATATGTTAACATTGGTTTCCCGGTAAACTTTCCATATATATGAATATATCAAATATACCATTTAATTGTCAATGCTAATATAGGTTATTTATATATATACATATCAACCCGCATATCGGATCTGTCACTGCTCACAGAAACGTCTGTATAATCAAGCTTAATGTCGCCAACTTTCCCAAAGGGCAAAGACTTGATCACGATATCACCATTGATTATGCATGACCTTGATTAGCGATCCTATCGATGTAGTTGAGCTTCCGTAAGCCGATTGGTCAACAGGAAAGATAGAGATCCTAGGTGCATATTGAATAACAACCTAAGCGGTAGGAGATGAAAAGGGAATCAAGCTTATTAACAAATTAAATAAATCAACGAATGGGTGAGTAAATATAAGATAAGGAAAAACAACCGCTAGTTTAGCGGCTGACTAGTCACTAAAACGGAAATTATAATATGTTTTCATGATTGGGTATGTTGAGTTAGTCAACCTACACGTGTAATCTGTTGATTGACTACTTCAGCAATATATCGGTTATTTCAGGGGAATATAATATATCATTCTGTGTGACTCGCCTTACGTTGACTCTTACACATTTTAGTTATATATAATGTAAATTAACTTTGATGTGACCCCAGAGAATATGTACTATATATTGTATAGTTGATGTTGATGTCACATACTTGTTTACTTCTTATCGATAAGAGCGTTTGATTGGAAGATTTTGACGTACTTGAAAACAGATCGTTTGTGTCATCAATATCAATGTTAATACCGCCTATTAATTACTTTCATAACGTACCAGATGGATGTAAATTATCAGAAATTAAAATAAGTATTAGTACAGAATTAAATAGATATCTAAGTCCGTGGAATTAGCATCGTCCAATTTATATCTTTTTGTTGTTTGCAATGATATTTTTTCTACCAAAAGTGCATTTCAATGTATGATGAAAATTTCACCCAATAATACTCCTGGGGTAGAGCTAATGAGTTGGCACCCTGGTAACTGTTCCATCAGCTTTCCTAGTCTAATCCGTTTGTAGTGCTCTAATAGTTCAAGAGTTATCTCCCTTTGGTCTGTAATATCCCCTAGAAAGAAGAGGATTACATCAGATGCATAGTACATAGTTCAAAAAC